AAGTAAAGAGAGTTTAGAAAAGAATTACCAGGATTTTGGAGTAAATTACTGCAGACACTGGAATCTGTATTGAAAACAACAAATGCTGGAGATCATGGTGGGTCAGGTAACACCCATGGAGAGAGAGCAAGCGAACATTTCGCGTCTAGGTGACTTCGTTATCATGCTGAGAATGGAGGGTTTGAGTTAAAAAGTAGACTGAAAAGGCTGGGACATTTTTCACTGGTGCTGAGGAGGTTGAGGGGTGACCTTATCAATGTTTATAAAACAAGGTGAATAGTAAGGGTCTTTTTCCCTAGGGTGGGGGACTTCAAAACTGGGGGTGTAAAGAGGAAAGATTTTAAAAAGGACATAAGGGGCAGCTTTTCTTACACAGTGGTTCATGTGTGGATGCATGTACAGTTGTAATGTTTAAAGGATATGCAGATAAATTTACGTGAATGGGAAAAGTTTGGAGGGAAATGGGTCAATCGCAGGCAGATGGGACTAGATTAATTTGGGACCATGGGCTGAAGGGTGTGCTTTATGTTGCATGACTGAGAGTGCAGCCCCTGTGCTCTATGATACTACAGATTGCACTGCTCACTGTGAATGCTCATGCCAGGGCAGCGGGGAGGGAACCTCCTGCCACTCATCATCTCACAATGGGGCCAGCTGATTGACGGCAGCTCACGAACCAATAGGAGGTTGGTGGGTGTGGCCGGCAGGCCGCGTGCGTTCGGCCTGGTCTTCCAACCAATGGGAGTGAAGGAAGGGCGGGGCAGTTGGGTGACACGTGACCAGTGCGGCTATGTCTGAGTGAGTGCTGGAGACGGGGAAAGGAACGAAATAGAGCGGAGACCTGGAGAGAAATGGGGTGAGTTTGGACTGGGGGGGGTTTCATAAGCACCAAGTGTAGGCCGCTAGATCCGAATTAGAAAGTCCCGGTCCCGTGTTTGCAGCACACGGGAAAGTAGCTGCGGGCGCTGATAGGCCTAGGGTTGCAACCGCCATCTTTATTGGGCAAGAAAAACCGAAAGAACTGCGGATGCTATAAATCGGGAACAAAAACAAAAGTTGCTGGAAAAGCTCAGCAGGTCTGGCAGCATCTGTGAAGAAAAACAAAAAATGAGTTAACGTTTCGGGTCCGGTGACCCTTGCTCAGGGTCTGATTAACTCTGATTTTTTTTTTCTTCACAGATGCTGCCAGACCTGCTGAGCTTTTCCAGCAATTTCTTTTTTCGATCTTTATTGGGGACCGGGGCAGCAGCGCACATGTGCAGGTCTCCTATCTCGGCGGAATAGACTGGGGTTTAAGGATTCACTCGCAGCAAATTTAAAACAAGATGTCTTTCCTAGGTTTCCATCCTGGACTGACATTATTTTGTTTTCTTTCGCGAACTCGTTTTACAGGATATTAATTGGGAATAATTTGCAGACTGGGATCTCAAAACAAGTTCTGACAGAATCAGCGGCGCTATTTGGAATCTGAATATCATTGGCATTTACTGTTGAAGGAAAAAGGTTTGTCCATTTTATTTGTGGGAAAATATCTCCAATATGGTTGTATCTCGAAAATCAGCAAGATGTGCAGACTTGTGGTTAGACCACCCCTGTGCCTGGGCCCTGCAGCTGTGGAAGGAAATATTGGCCTGAAAGGGGACACATTTCACCAAATAACACCTCATGTCTTTGAAAGAAGTCATATTTAGTCCCAATCTCTCACTTCATGCTCAGCCTATAAATTTCTCATTCTCAAATAGCTGCAAACTCCATTTTAAAATTCCTTATGGACTCGAGATCCAGCACCCGTTCAGCTGCAAGGTTCCTGATACTGACAAGTCTGTAGGTCCAGAAACTGCTGAATTCTGTGTTGAGTCCGGAGGGTTAAAAAGGCTGAACTGACAAATGTAATACTCTTCCCTGAGCTCCCATTGAGTTTCACTGCAGTAGTGTAGGAGGCTGAGGTCAGAGTGGGTGTATGCTGACAAGGCTGCACTGTGAGTGCTAAACAAAAGTGGTTTGGACTTGGGTGAAAACGGTGAGTTCAGTGAAACAGGGAGAAGGTAAAGCTGAAAGACTTGAGTGCAATCTCAGTCTGGGCAATTCAGAAAGTGACATGGTCCAAACAGAAATGGCCAATTCATAAGTGATACCTACAGAGTATTCTTTTTTAGATGTTTTGAAGTACTATATATCAGCTTAAGTAAAGGTAGGGGCTTCTGACTATAATAGAGGTTTTTGAAATGAGGAGAGGTCCCTGATTGAATTACATTCTCTTTAAGTAGTAACTAGCTTAATCTGGAGGGACGTCATGATAGGAGACCTTAGACCCGTGGTGGGCGTGGTAGATCAAGGGTTACTCTGCTGCACAGAAGGGGAAGAGCATGAGTGGCAGGGCTGTACTGATAGGGTGTTCAAAAGTAAGGGGTACAGACAAGCACTTCTGTGGCTGTAGACATGAATCCAGGTATATTACCTCCCTGATGCCAGGATCAGGAATATCAGGAGCGGCTACAGGATATTCTGGAGCTGAAGGGTGAAAGCCAGTGGTCGTGGTACACATAGGTGTCAATGACATAGGTGAACAAAGGAATGAAGGCCTCAAAGCTGATTATAGGAAGAGAGGGAAACACTGCGTTAAAATGCAGGACCTGAAATGTTGCAATGTCAGGCCCAGTCCCAATGTAATGTGCAAGTGAGAGCAGAAATAAGAGGATGGATCAGATGAATTCGTATTTGGAGAAATGGTGTAGTAGAGAGGGGTTCAGATTCTTGAAACATTGGGACTGTTTCTGGGGAAGTTGTGACCTTTACATGTCTGATAGGTAATGCACATGGGCAGAGCTGGGAGAATTTCCTTCGAGGCTTTTGCTAACAGTATTGGTAAGGTTTTAATCTAGTATGGCAGGGGAATGGGAGCCAAAGTGTAGGCTTGGATGGATTAGATTCAGATCAGGAAATCAGAGGCAGTGATGTAGTCAATAATCAGAAAGACAAAAGAAACAAGGATTAAATGAGGATCAAGTGTTTCTTTATACATCAGTCCTGACATCCCAGGAATCAATCTGGTGAACCTGCACTCTCTCAATAGCTAGAGCATACTTCATTGGGAAAAGAGAACAAAAATGCTCACAATACTCCAGCTGTGGTCTCACCAAGGCCCTTACAGAAAGATATCCCTGCTCCTGTACTCAATTCCTCTCAATTTGAAGGTCAACTATTATTTGCATTCTCCACTGCATGTCGTGCCTATCTGTTTCCTGAAAGTGAGTCATAGAGAAACATGAATCAAAATGGGATCAGAGCTTCTGATGTAAAATTGTTGAATGCAGTGTTTCCCATCCTATGCATGCTGGTCAGCAAGCATGTATTTATGTTAGTCCCATTTCCTGGCAACAGCATATAACCTGTAATATGATCATCTAAATACTAAGTCATACATTATGGAAACATACCTTCGGTCAAAACATAATCCCAAACTAAACTAGTCGCACCTGCCTGCTCCTGGCCCATATCTCTCCAAACCTTTCCTATTCATGTACTTATCTAAATGGCTTTTAAATGTTGTAACTATGTAGACATCCACCACTTCATCAGAAAGTTCATTCCACATACAAACCACTGTCTGACTAAAAACATTTGCCCCTTATGCCTCTTAAATCCTCTCTCCTCTCACCTTAAAAATCTGGCCCCTAGTCTTGAAACCCCCCATCCTAGGGAACAGAGACCTACCATTCACTGTATCTATAGCCCTCATGATCTTATAAACCTCTATAAAGTCACCTGTAAAACTCCTATACTCCAGTGAAAGAGGTTCCAACCTTTCTTTATACCTCAAACCTTCCATATTCAGCAACATCCTGGTAAATCTCTACTGAATCCTCTCCTAATACCCTTCATATGACTGGGCACAGTACTCCAGGACAGGCATCACCAATGTCCTGTACGACCCCAATATGACTTCCCAGTTCCTAGACTCAGGGTTGAGCAATGAAGGCAAGCGCTCTAAATGCCTTTTTAACCACCCTATCTATATGTGCTGCAAACTTCAAAGAATTATATAACAGAACTATAGGTCCATCTCTTCTACAACATCAACGAAGACCTTACCATTAATTGTATAAATCCTGCCCATGTTTGTTGTACCAAAATACAATACCTCACATTTGACCAAATTGAACTCCATTTACCATTTTTCGGCCTATTAACCCATTTGATCAAGATCTCTTTTTTCGTCTTAGAAAATGTCTTCACTGTCCACCATGCCATCAATTTTGGTGTTCTCCGCAAACTTATTAACCATGTCTTCTATATTCTCATCTAATGGTTTATTCATCTGTCACCATTTCAGATGCTGACAGACCTGTACATCTCCAGCATTTTCTGTTTTAATTTCAGATTTCCAGAATTTTGCTTCTGCACTTGTTTTTAGTCCTTTGGAGAGATCGAAGGGTACAGGAAGAAAACAGCAACAGGTTGAGTTGTGGACCTATAAAATGCCTTTCTTTCATGCATGCCTCTTCCGCCTCTGTCTTTCTGGAGTTTTGTGCAAACACGAGTTGCCTTGGCTGAGGGTCATTTATAGAACCGTTCAGTTTTAATGATAATCCAGCAGTTTCCCAAGTGTCTCCATAAATGACCAGATTAAGGTTATCTCAGTTTCACAACCTGTGTTCTCGTCTGGATTTTCTTTGTGTTTGAAAGGTTTATTTGCAATTAGAGAATTCAGATCTGACAGTCACTCTGTTTATCACAAGCTGATGATCACAGGATTTTGAACGTTGAAGGAAAAAGCATCATTTACACTGGGGAGGAATACATGGTCTGTGTGTGGAAAAAATTGTGAAGATTCAGCTGAAATGTCCAAACACCAGCATAGTCATACTGGGAAGAGACTGTGGAAATGTGGGGATTGTGGGAAGGGATTTTATTACCCATCCCAGCTGGAAATTCATCAGCGAGTTCACACTGGGGAGAAACCATTCACTTGCTCTGCTTGTGGGATGCGATTTGCTCAGTCATCTAACCTGCACAAACACCGGCAAGTTCACACTGGAGAGAAACCATTCACCTGTTCTGAGTGTGGGAATGCATTCACTCGGGTTTCCAGTCTCCTCATACACCAGAGAGTTCACACTGGAGAAAGACCATTCAACTGTTCCGAGTGTGGGAAGGGATTCACTCAGTCATCTGACCTGCTCAAACACCAGCAAGTTCGTACTAGAGAGAGACTATTCACCTGCTGTTATTGTGGGAAGGGATTCACTTGGTCATCTGACTTACTCAAACACCAGCGAATTCACACTGGAGAGAGACCATTCACCTGTTCTGAATGTGGGAAGGGATTCACTCGGTCATCCAACCTGCGGATACACCAGCTTGCTCACACAGGAGAGAGACCAATCACGTGTTCTGAGTGCGGGAAAGGATTTAATCGGTCATCCAGCCTGCTGCGACACCAGCGAGTTCACACTGGGGAGAGACCATTCATCTGTTCTGAATGTGGAAGGGGATTTAATCGGTCATCCAGTCTGCTGAGACACCAGCAAGTTCACACAGGGGAGAGACCATTCACCTGTTCTGAGTGTGGGAAAGCATTCACTCAGAGAACTCATCTACTGATACACCAGCGAGCTCACTCCGGAGAGAAGCTATGATCTATGTGTGGGAAGGGATTCACTTGGTTATCCAAACTGTTAATATACCAGCAAATTCACAAAGAACCACAGTTGAAGGATTTTGCTCTTTCTCCCACCAAACAATCAACTGTGGTCTTTGGGCTTTGGACTGATATTATTAGTCCCTGCTCAATTAAAGCTGCTGATATTGTGGATAAAATGGTAGTAACAATTGTGTATCTGTAGGGTAGGTTTTGGAAATGATCACATTGTCATTATACATCAACACATTCACACTGAGCAAAGACTATCCACCTGCACAGTCTGTAAAAAGGGATTTCCTGGTTCATCAAGACTGATTATCCATCAATTAGTTCCCAAGTAACTGTAGGAATTTGTTTTTGATGCTACTGTTGTTTGTATTCCAAACCATGTTTTTTGGGCCTTTTTCTGATTTTTGTAAACACTACATTTCTGGTTACCTATTTGGGAGAAAGATGATATAAATCAGCTTTTTGTGAAAACTATTATGCAATAAGTCTTTATCTTATCTCTAATGCAGACTGATTTACTTTGAAGAGCTCTCCATCTCCCCTGTACCCTCCAACCTCAACTCCAAATGCGAGGAACTCATGGAGCTTATTCGTTCCTCAGAAAAGGAAAATCAGCGTGCTTCAAATGAGCAGTTGGATGAAGGCACAACCTGAACAAGGGACAGCCTGTAATGCTGGAAATGTAGTGCACTATTGGAACTCAGTGCACAGGGCTAGAAGTCTTTTTTCTCTTGTTCAGGGTTTGTTCAAGGCAGATGGGAGTTGCACCTGAACTGGAATGGGAGCAACATCCTTGTGAGGGTGGGGTGTGGGAGTGGGTTTCATGTGCTGTTGCAGTGGCCATGACTAGACGTTGGCCATTTTGGGCTTTTTTTTTTAAACTGACACAAGATGGCTGAAAGGGGTTGACAGTTACATACAGCAGATGTTCACAGCTAGACTTGTGGTCTCCATGATGAGATACTGGATAAGATGAGATTCTCTGTGGGAAGAAACAGTAGGGAAATTAATCAGGTTTGTGTAAAAGACAGTTCTAAGCATCAGCATTTTAACTAGGGGCATTTCTGAAAGGCCTAGTTTAGCCACAGAGCTAAGTTTGTTATTTAGTAAAAGTCTGATCCTGCAGTATTCTGAACTTTTTGGTAATTGTAGAATTAGAAATGCAAAGAACAAATTGGTGTGAAAAAGTTAGTTGCAAAGCTTGAGCAAATGTTTGTAGGCAGTAAAAGAAGCTCACTGAATCATTAAGGAAGATAAAGCAACAAATGGTGTAAACACACAACCTGTAATATAACTTAAGTGCGGATGTAACAATTTGTTCAAATTATCCATGTCCAAGGATCAAGGGAAGCATGACAAGGACAGCTTACAAAATACAGAATGAAGACGTGGTTATGTTGCCTAATTATTTGTGGAATCTAAACATTTAAAGACTTGGTAAAGTTGTAAAGTGATTGAATTTCACCCTTATCAGTGGAATTCATATAGATGCTTTATTAAAACCTAATTAGTACTGTAAAGTGTTCAGAAATAGTAAAGATTTATTTAAGAAAAACAAAACTTTAAAATTCATTTTCAGCATGCAAATAGCAGGGGTCAGAAACTGCAGCTGCAAGTCAGAAGAATTGTTTGATCTCTCAGGCTGATGGAAGAGAGAGGATTTACTCAGTTTGTCAGCTCTGTCACAGAATTGTCGTAACTTTTCATTAAATTGTTTATAAAGACTTCATAACAATTGGTCAAAATTAATATCCTTCCTAATTTGCCTTTACTAAAGTTAGTACAGAAGTTGGAAGAGTTCTAAATGAAAAGCAAGTATTTAGGTTTATCGCAAATACTGTAGTGCAGCTGGCAAGTGTCTGGGAAGGAGTAAAACTGTCAGAAGCATTGTAAGATCCCAAAGACAGATGATGGAGGTATCTAGTAGACATCTTGAGATTATGGGAGGACTTTGAGCTGACCACAGAGTTGTCCGTCGTTGATTGTGCGCTTACTGGTTTGAATGTATAGGTTAGGGGGATGTGACCAACAATGACATCAATGTTGCATGTAATTACTTTAATTTGGAAGGTATGAAAATGTATTCAACTGGGGAAAATTTGTGCGTCATTGACCTCTCTTCCACTCTGAGCTGGGGCCCACATGAAAGCCAGATTCCAAGTGGCCTCTGGCCTGTCCCACATGTGTGGGAAAAGAGCTTTGAATAAAGGACACTGGAACGGTTGAACACAGAACTCAAGACTCCTTAACATTTCTCCCTACAACAACATGGCATGGAGTGTAAGTCTGACTTTGAGGTCCTACATTAAAATGTATCTTCTCTCTTCCTATATTTAGCTTTCAGGTCCTTATCCATTTGTTTATCTATGTCAATGGTACCTACATGTTTCACAGCCACTAGCTGTTCCCTTTCTACTCCAGAATGTGTGCAGCTGCTCCATGGCACCCCTGATGTTCGCACAAGGGAAGCAACATATTATCCTGAATTCACATCTGTCTGCACCCCTTACTATTGAATCCACTATCGCAATAGACCTGCTGCTTGTTTTCCTTCCCTTCTGTGCTGCAGAGCCACCTGTGATGCCATGAACTTGGCTGATGCTGATTTTGCCTGAATGGCCACCCCACCGCCCCCAAACAGTATATCTGTTTGAGATGAGGATGACCACTGGGGACTCCTATACTTCCGGAGCCTTTTACTTTATCTGATGGTTACTCATTTCCTTTCTGTCTGTGTAATCCTCACCTGCAGTGTGACCAACCCACAAAATTTGCTGTCTATGACATTTTCAGCAGCATGGATGCTCCATAGGGAGTGCAGCCAAAAGTCCAGCTCCGAAAAGAAATTAGCCGGTAGCTACATTTGGACACGTGGCAGAAAGGGACACTGGAAAAAGGAACACACCACAGGTTTGAGGTTTTCTATCTAGATTTCTCTCTAGATTAAACTCAAAGCTCCCTTTTAAGAGACTTTAATTAAGCTAGGACTTTCCTTTGTTTCAAACTCTTCTATTATAATTGAAAGCCCCTAACTTAGCTTAAGCAAATATATTATAATTTAAAAACTGAGAAAATACACTGGAGGTATCACTTACCAATGGGCTGTGTCTGTTGGGACCATGTCACTTTGTAAACTGCCTGGACTGAAACTGAGCACCACACTCTGTCTTTCAGCTTCACCTTCTCCATGTCTCACCTAACTCTGTTTTCACCAAACTCCAAAGCACTCCCATTTAGCCAAGCAGTATTCACAGTGCAGCCTTGTCATTTTAATTTTCTGCTCACACCCAGTCTCCTGTAGTATACAAATTAAGCTCAATGGGAGCTCGGGGAAGAGCATCTTATCTTTCAGTTCAGCTGTTTATGATGGTCCAGACTTAACATGGAGTTCAGCAGTTTCTGAGTCAAGAGGAGTTGAGAATTTGGCCAGTTCCACCTGAAAGGGTCCTGACCCAAAATGTCAACTCTCCTGCTCCTCTGATGCTGCCTGATCAGCTGTGCTCCTCCAGCTTGACACTGTACTGACTGCACCTGTAAGGGTGCAAGAGCTCAAGTCCATAAGGAAGTTTAAAAGGGAGTTTGCAGCTGATGAGGAACTTCTAGGTTAAAATCATGAAGCATATGACTTGGACTAAAGCTAACAGTTCTTTCAGAGATGAGGTTTTATTCCCATAAATCTGTGCTCCCTCTTGGGCGAATATCTTCTTCCTCAGCTGCAGGGCCCAGAACTGAACACGTGCCCCAAGCGTAGTTTAACCACAACAAAACAAAGTTGCTGTAAAAGCTCAGCAGGTCTGGTAGCATCTGTGACCCTTCCTCAGAACCGAAACGTTAACTCTGTTTTTTCCTTCACAGATGCTGCCAGACCTGCTGAGCTTTTACAGCAACTTTGTTTTTGTTCCTGATTTACAGCATCCGCAGTGCTTTCGGTTTTTATTTAGTTCAACCACAAATTTGAACATTTTACTGCTTTTGAAGTTATAACCATATTGGAGATGTTTTCCCTACAGACAGAACAGTCAAACGTTTCGCTTCCACAGTAAATGCCAATGATATTCAGATCCTGATAGCACTGCTGACTGTCAGAACTTGTTTTGAGATCCTGGTCTGCAAATTATTCGCAATTAATATCCTGTGAAACGAGTTCGCAAAGTTATTGTCAGTCCAGGATAGAAAACTGGGAAAGGGCAAACATTACTCTTCGTTTGAGTTTGCTGCGTGTAAATCCTCTTCTTCAAATCGCTACGCCCCGCCGCCCACCCGGAAAGAAATCCGCGCATTCGAACTAACAAGGTGCAGAGCTGGATGAAAACAGGTCAAACAGCATCAGAGGAGCAGGAAGGCTGACGTCTTCAGAAACGAGCTTCATGTTCCTTTGATGCTGCTTGGCCTGCTGTGTTCATCTAGCTCTACACCTTGTTATCTTAGATTCTTTAGTATCTGCAGTTCCTACTATCTCCGCGCATTCGAGCTGCTCTTCGCCCCAATAAAGATGGCGGCGTTAACCTAGGTACCCAGCGTTTGACGGCTGTAGCCGTTTTCCCTTTGATCCCGCGGGATCTAGCAGCCTACACCTGGTGTTAATGAAACCTCCCAGTGCAGAATGACTCAATGTTTCTCCCGATCTACGCTGGATCCACCCCATCTACGGTCTTAAATCACCACACGCACACAGGCGCCTGTTACAGCAGCTTTGCGTCCGCAACTTCGATGGTCAGATGGCCCCGCCCTATATTCGCAAATTGTTCGGAGGACCAGCTTCTGATTGGTCCTCCTGTCCAGTTCCCTTCTCCTATTGGTCAAGACCTGCCGTCAATCAGCCGGGAGGTAAAAAGCGGGAGCGTATGTCTTTGCGATCCAGGGATGTGTGTTATCTTCACAGTGAATGCGATAGTATGCAGTATCCCAAAGCACAATCGAGAATCGCTGCAAATCTATCCCGACTTCCCTGTCCTTTGCCGTCAGCCTGCAAATCTTTCCTGAAAAAAGTTAAATTGCAGCTGCCGTTCAGACTGTTCCAGATCCTTGGAACTTGCTGAGCAAAATAATCTACACATTTTCACCCTGCATTATTTACCTGTGTTCTGTGGTTTCCAGACATTGTGACAATGTTGATAATTTCTCTCTCTCTGTAAATGAAATATATTGGAAATAAAGCTACACCTCGTCTAAATCACTGTTTAACCTTTTCAGCTCCAAGGTGAATTATCTGAGCTTCTGCTACCTCTCCACAAAACAGAAACGCATCTTAATTAGAGAGATAGTAGGAACTGTCGGTGCTGGAGAATCTGAGATAACAAGGTGTAGGGCTGGATGAACACAGCAGGCCAAGCAGCATCAAAGGAGCAGGAAAGCTGACTTTTCGGTTCGAGACCCATCTTAACTTCTTGTTCTTTGCTGCCCAGACCAGTATTTATTATTCACCTTCATTTGAATTGGAGAAAGTGGTGGTGAACTGTCTTCTTCAACTG